CCACCCTTTACCCCACCCCTGCCAAGCCCACCACTAAACCATGTCCCTAAGCACCGCATCCACACGTCTTTTAAATACCTTCAGGGGTGGTGACTCCACCACTTCCCTGGGCAACCTGTTCCAAAGCTTGACAACCCTTTCAGTGAAGAAATTTTTCCTAATGTCCAATCTAAACCTCCCCTGGTGCAACTTGAGGCTGTTTCGTCTTGTCCTATCGCTTGTTCCTTGGGAGAAGAGACCAACCCCCACCTTGCTACAACCTCCTTTCAGGTAGTTGTGGAGGGCGATGAGGTCTCCCCTCAGCCTCCTCTTCTCCAGGCTAAACAGCCCCAGTTCCCTCAGCCGCTCCTCATCAGACTTGTGCTCCAGACCCTTCACCAGCTTCGCTGCCCTTCTCTGGGTGCGTGTTGCCCTTCTTTGGACTTTGGCCCTGTGCAGTGTTCCAGTGGAGTTCCCGGGCTCCCGAGAGCTCCCTCCTCCAGGACGTTTTCTCCCGGCTGCAGGATCCTCTGCCCTCCTGCTTCAGGGGCTTTGCTCTCCCCACAGACAGCCTGCTCGGAGGGCAGCTCCCCGTGCGAGGACTCCTTGCTGTTCTCTCCCTGCCTCGACCTTTCCATCACGACTTCTCTCTTTCTCAGCTCAGGACCCCGGGATCTCCCCAAGCCAGAGTCTCTGCGCCGAGAGCTCCAAAGCCCTTACTTCAGGCTCGCTGTCTGAGAGCGGGGTGGTTCCCATCGAAGCTTGTTGCTTGGTGGTCCTGGCTACGGAGAACAAAGTAAGGCTCAAAACACTCGATTAAAACTGTCCCGCGTTGGGGTTGCCTCCAGAGTCACTCTCCGATTGCGATGACTCTGGGACTGGGATTGCTGGGAGGTTTTCTGGCCGTTAGACCGGGTGGCCACAACCTCTCAGGTTGACAGTGGAGAGCTACAAGCCCCAGGGTGGCCTCATCTGGCTCTCGCCAACTGTCCCCTCTGTTATGTGACCAGGTGCTTACCTGGCCGTACATTGCGTGACACACATAGGCCCAGTTTTAAGACTGCAGGGTGTGGGTTGGGCTTTGCTGGCTCACAAGGTGTTACCTGGTCCCTGCCTCAGCCCCGAGACCTGGTTCGGACACGAGAGGATATCAGAAGACAGTATTCCCTCGGCGGTGGTGCCTGCTGCCCAGAGCTTTATCCGGCAGCAGGAAAGCTGTGAAGACAACTGACTCTCTCCCACAATAGGATTTTGCTAACCGGGCATTTTCCTGCTGTTTCGTCTGGTGTCTGGATCCAGAGATTCTGATCTTGGTCTGTGTGCTCCTACTTCTACAGCAGGAACCCTTTGCCTTCAGGGTGGAGTTTTACTCGCCTTGTTTTCAGCTCTAACACTCTCTGGGGTGCCTGCACCTATTTGGGATGTAGGTTATGTAGCCAAAATCCCAGGGAGCTGAACTGAGGAGTAGGACAGAGCATCGACACAAAATCTGGATGCTAATTAATAGCTGTGAGTTGACGATGGAGCATCCAATCTCCTATTGCCTGGGTCTGAAGAGGGCTGAGATGCTTCTCGGGCAGTATGGGAGGGTGATGAGGGGTGATATATCTCAGGAGTTCGTCTCCTCTAGCACCGAGGAAAATCCCAGGAGACAGCGGGAGGTAGCTAACAAGATTCGAGGTTTTTCACCTCCAGCCCTGGAGACCCTGCAGGTCGGACAGTGTCCTGGATCTTGGACAAGTGGGTTCCCTATCCTCGCTGGGAGGACAACACCCTTAGAGATACAGCACACCGCTGACCCACATCGCGTGCCCACCGTAGGGAGCCGAAGAGAAAGGCCACCATGGTATCTTCTGCCTTCCACCAGCCCTTCTTTGCTCCCTCCCCAGGTGACTGCCGAGGAGCTGTGCTCACTTCTCAGCCAAGTCTTCCAGATTGTTTACACTGAGTCCACGATAGACTTCTTGGACAGAGCAATATTTGATGGGGCGTCCACACCGACGCGGCACATGTCCTTACACAGTGGTAAGTCCGTGCTCTCCCCGTTTGCCTCTTTCTTACCGGGCCCATCTGAGGGTCATAGAATCGTAGGAAGGTTTAGAGACGAAGGGACCTTAAAGATCATCTAGTCCAACCCCCCTGCCGTGGGCAGGGACATCTTAACTAGATCAGGTTGCTCAGAGCCCCATCCAACCTGACCTGGAATGTTTCCAGGGATGGGGCATCTTCCACCTCTCTGGGCAACCTGTGCCAGTGTTTCACCACCCTCATCGTAAAGAATTTCTTCCCTGTATCTAGTCTAAATCTCCCCTCTTTCAGTTTAAAACCATTCCCCCTTGTC